TTAATCCTGAACATCGCCTTGACCTTCTTCGTTTTTCTATAATCGCATTAATTTGATTGTTCGCCAACAATACATGGAAATTAGTTTAAAAATTAAAGTTAAAGAAAAAAAGATTCATACAGTGAAGCTACATTACGGAATGCATGATCAGAGACCACCTGCAACACCTTCATGGACCACCAGGGAGCCACAGACCACTGGTTGAAAACCCCTAAAGAATCAGCAGAGTTGTGTTTGTTTGTGTATTTGACTGTTTGCTTGGATACATGTGTGTTATGTTTGCACATGGTGCTAATTTGTTTTTGAGTTGAATGATTGTGCAGTTTATTTTTAATGTGTGTATATGAGTGTCCACCCAGCGATGCCATCTCTTTTCCCCATTTACCAGCAGGGTAACACTCCTGAATCTAGGCCAAGCTATGTTTACACTCTTAATGAGCTCCAGCTGTGACTCCATTGATACAAGGAATTAGATCACAAAGTTTTGAGACCCATACAAATGCAGCCTGAGAGGCTAAGAAATGACAACAGCATCACCTAAATAGGCAACACACTAAATGATATGAAGCCAATGATGATGAAACATGTTGACATTATTTTAAAATTTGGAGTATGTGCAATATGTGCTTTGTGTGTGAGAATGAACGTCTGTCATCTAAAAACTCAATAAATCTAGCATTCCCAGGCAATGAGCGTCTTGCACTCCACTCCACTGACAGTTAATCTGTCTGGCATTCCCTCTCTGTGTCAGTTACCCAAACCCAAGCAGCTGGGAATGTTGTCTACTGATGTGCCTCCTCTGAAAACTGACACCTCCCAGGGTCAGAGCTTAGTGACAGCACTCAACAACAAATGATTCACACATCAAATAGGCTCTAAACACAGACGCGTTTATAAATTCCACAATCCAAACTTTTAAAGAACTGATGCAATTTTCTGAATTATTTTGGACTGATTGGGGTTTTAGTTGCCATGCAGTTTTATCATTTTAAATAATGTAATTAATTTAACTTAATGTATTTGTATAGGCAACATCAATTAACTGACTTATTTGCACTCAGCAGTTGTCGTTTTTGGCAGTAAAGTATCAGTGTACAGTAATTGCTCAGAGGTTTCATGTGAAACACAGTTGAGGAGTTAAATGTGTGTTTACATGTTCTTTAACACTTGGGGTTGAGATTCATAATTTATGCGAGTCTGTTAATATGTGTGGCTGGCAATGAAATGTGCTATGTAATAAACGCAAAGTGCGAACTGCTTTGCTGAAACATTCATTTCACCTGTATGTTCTCTGGTTAAGACGACTTCATTTTATTGCATGCATATACTTTTTAAATCATCATGTTTCGTTAGTCATGCATTGTTATAATTAAAGAACACTAAAAAGATAACTGCAGATAGATGTGGGCTATTATCGCAATTTATCACTGAATGCATGAATGAGTCATAAATCCATAAAGTAATCAAGGGAGGAGTTATTAATTTCCTTCATGGGGGTGATAACATTCAAAATAGCTGGCTTAAAGGCACAACAACAAAGCTGTGTACTAGTACTATACTAGTCAGTCATCTTCAGTAGACCCACATATTAAACACCAGTCATAATGTTGCGCTTAATATAATTTGCATTGTAGTTAGGTTCAAACATGTAAATACAAATGCAACAAATAAAACTCTTAACTATCACATAGTATGTGCATTTTTTAAAGAAAATTTCCCTCTGCATCATTATCCTTTTCATTCATGAAAGCCTAGGTAGTATTTCGTTTTATATATTTTTGAGGTATGAATAAGCATTTCCAAATGTAAAGATTTAGCTGCAATTGCTGTTTAATAAATATTATGTATGGAGTTTGTTTAGTTTTGACTTTGTTTTGAATTCATGAGGAAATTAGACACGTGTACATTTATCACTTTTTTTCCATATGTAAATTTTGAGGTGTGAAGCTCAAGATAAGGAGGGGGCTCATGACTGGGCTCACGAATGGGCTCATGACTGGGCTGGTTCTAAAAATCAAGAAAACCTTTCATTTGGTAAAGGTAAAGTGTGAAAACTTGTTAGTCGTTAGCCCCCGAAGATGCAGCATCTCATGAATAATTATTGGAATGCAACAGCGGTAAAAAGCAAGCTAAAACAAGAAAATAGGAGTTGCCTGACTTGGAATTAAAAAAACGTAATTGTGTAGCTGCAGATATAGGAACATAAAGATTTGGCAAACAAGGAAAAAAATCCTTTCTAATCCAAAACAGCTCCACATAGCTGGGGACAGGTTAAACAGCTGTAAAGCAACCCTCGTAAAGTTCACAACACCGGAAAACCACAGGAAAGCAATAAACCACCAGAGAATACAGAGTTTGGCTATCTAAAAGCAGCTTTAACATGGAAGGCAGACAGGGCAGCTCTGAACTCTGAGGATGCCTTGAACTCACAAGGATCTCTCTAGTACCCAGTGCATCTTCAGTTACCAAACTTGACAGTATGTACCCGATTTTATGATTCAGTTATACGTACCCAGTTTTATGATTCAAAGCTAACTGTGTACCATGAACAGACCTGACTTGATATCGACTTGACTGGTTCAACAACTAGATCAACAAGTGAAATATGATCCCCATCTTAAGGTTCAATTCAATTCAATTCAATTTTTGTTTGATATTTTAAGTTTAAAAATTAAAAACTAATATTCCAAATACTTTTAAAACTGAAATAAAAAATACCATTTAAAACACAGTGACTTTCAACTGTTTTATATGGTATAATAATATCAAAAACAAAAATAACCAGAAGAAGAACAGCATGGCATCTGTCTGGTTTACTCTGGAATAAACTGAATCTCTATGTAAAGTCTTTTCTTTTCTCTACTGCTTGTAATGAGTTGTCAGAGGTAGTGTTGCATAAGGCTTTTGGCGTCACCTGGTTGACAGGCAACTGGCCTGTGGCAAGGCAATAAAATGTTAAGTGAAGTGTTTTTGATACTGTCTGTCCTCAGCCTGTTGGGCTAGTTTCTGTTTGCTATGTAAAATTATTTGAACAAGATGAGTTGATAAACTGGAAAGCACCGAGTCAAGTCTGTTCTTCATGTAACATGTAGTAACAAAACTGCAGTCTTACAGGATGCTCAGAAACACAATTCAGCCATGAGAAAGATGCTACCTACATTTCATGGGACTCATTAAGTTTATACATGGCCTAAACACAATTTGAATGTTAGTGCAGTTTTTAATTTCACTATGGTTTTATTTATTTATGGTTTATGTGCTTTATCAGACTATTCTTATGCTGTCACTTATTTTCTTAACTGCACTTTATCTATTGTGACCTTATGTATTGCCTGTTTAATTTCTCTTGTGTATGCTCTGCACCAAACACCTCAGTCTGAAATTTAATTATACAGGTATTGTATGTTTCCATATAATGACAATAAAGTCTGATAAAGTTAATAACCTAAAGCTGTTTTCTAATTAAACAAAGATTCACTGGAAATCACATTTTATGCATAAAGTTTTCTTTGTTATGTTTAACTGAATTATTATGCTTCATAAAAACACAGAATGAGACAAACTACTTTAACTAAACATTCACAGGATGAAAATCGTGTCTGTGGCTGTAACAAAATCTCTTAAGCTATACCACATTCATCTGGTTTTCATGATCCTATTAAACAAGGAGTTTAAGTGGGAGAAAGCCTGATTATTAACTCTTACTCAATGACACTTAATGGTATGAAGATATCATTAGTGTAATTAGTTGCACCCATGTTTTTCCTGCTGTGACAAGTCAAAATGTTAAAAGGTTATTGCTGACAGCTTTATATTGTTGCCATTTCAGGAAAAACACCTCACCTCACTAAACCAGTATTATTTACACCATTCAGTGTAATGGCGGAGCAATATAGTGCAGGGCCCGGGCCCTCATCCCACAATTCAATTCCTATAAAAGGCAACCGGTATCTTGACCAAACAACACAATACCAACCATCGTCCTACATAGAGTCTCACTATAATCTGTTACAAAATAGCATATACACAAGCAAAATGAATATCAATCGACAAAAAGGCTATGGACACTGTAGCAGAGGCAACATGGACATAAATCAATACGTAAGCAGCCATGATATATTACTGTATACATGTAGCTGTATAAGCAATTTAGAAACCAAAACAAGTGCAGTCCAACAACTAAAGGCTCATTCAAAACATGGAGTGTGTGCCTTTTGAACACCACCTAATGTAAACACACGAAACTGTATTGCTACAGCTTCCTCCTATAGCCTCTTTACAGTAGCACAATAATTACAAAAGCTAAAATAACCAACAATAGGTGGACAGGCTGTGAACACTGATATGAACACAAACCGACATAAACCAGCTTTGGCAATCCAGCAGTTATCAGCATAGTGAAGCACTGTTCTGGGGCCTATTTCAAGAAGGCGGTTTTGTCGAAACTCAGAGTTTGTAAACCCCGAAATGAGGGAAACTCGGAGTTTTCGGTTTCAGAAACGGATGGAACTTAAACCCGTGAAAGCGGGGTAAATTAAACCCGTTTCACAAAGAGAGGTAATCTAAACTCAGAGTCAGTTACTATGGCAACTTACTCTGTGAACCTAACCTGCTGGCGAGCAGGTTTTGTTCGGGAAACTCAGAGTTTCCTCCGGGTCTCCGCCCCTTTTTAAAGTGAAAGGTGTTTAATACCTCATTTAATCTTTCAGTACATTCATAGATTGCACACGTTTCCGTCACGCAGAGACCAAAATGGCGTGTCCATTCATAGAGGATCCTGTAG